TCCTGCTTGTGCTGCACATTTCTGGGGACAGACCTCGGCTGCGATTTCTGCTCCAGGGAGGCGGCGTTACCAAAATCCCAAAATCCCGAAATCCTGACATCAGAGGAGGCTGGGACCCACAGCAGCTCGGCTTTGTGTCATCTCAGTGGAAATACAGAATATTACTGGATTACGGAGAAAGAATACTGAAAAATGGGAAAAAAATATTCCTGGAAAATGGGGAAAGAATACTCCTGGGAAATGGAGAAATAATACTGGAAAATGGGAATAGAATACCCCTGGATGATGGGGAAATACTTCTGGGAAATGGGGAAAGAGTATTCCTGGAAAATGGGAAAAGAATATTCCCGGATAATGGGGAAAAATACAGGGAAATGGGAAAATACTCCTGGAAAATGGGGAAATAATACTCCTGGATAATGAGAAAATAAAAGAATACTACTGGATAATGGGAAAATACTCCTGGAAAATGAGGAAAGAATACTCCTGGATGACGGGGAAAGAATGGTCCTGGAGAATGGGAATAGAATACTCCTGGAAAATGGAAAAGAATACTCCTGGATAACGGGGAAAGAATACTGGAAAATGGGAAGAGAATACTCCTGGACTATGGGAGAAGAATACTCCTGGATAATGAGAAAAGAAAAGAATGCTTCTGGATAACGGAACTGCTGCTGGAACTCTCTTTAAACCCCAGTTTAGGGTGTTTGTGGGGCACAAAGAGGAGCTCCTGCGGGGGCTCTGGGCCTGAGGAGGACAGACACTGTGACACTGGTGACAGCCCAGCCCTCCTTTGCTCCAGGGACTGAAGATGATSGATGTCACTGAATCCAGGGCGGGTGTCACCTTTCAGCGGGGTTGAACCTGTCACCGTGAGTCACAAACCCGTCCCCAATACCTGCCACCTCCAGCTTAGGATTTGGGATGGAAAGCAGCTTTTGGGCAGAAACCAGCAGCCAATATTTAACTCCGAGGTGTAAATACCACCCTGAGTTACGYAACGGCTCCTCAGAGCTGAAATCCTCATCCCAAGCAAGGGATTCTTCAGTGGGATAAAGAGTAAAGCGCATTCTAAACAGCACAAAAACCTAAAACCCACCACGCTCCAGCACTGCATGAATCCCCTGCTAAAGCTGCTTTAAAAGGACCAGAATTTGGCTTAATAGTGATTTTTAAATCACCTGTAATTCTTATTTGTCTGTCACCCCACGCTCCTCGCTCTGAAGTCATTTTCCCCTTGCATAACAGAATTATGTTGTAGTTCCTGCACCAGCACCCTGCCCTGCTTTAGAACACGCAGCAAAATCTCCACACTCTTTATTATAATTTTAAAAACATTATTATTTAAAATTTTTAAAATAGTAATAAAGAAATCATAAAGTTAAAAAAACAACGCAGCAAGGAAAAGGAGAAACAGTGAAAAAAAACCCCTTTTTCTTGGCAAAATCCACAAATATTTGAGTGTATGAGTATTTACAAGCTTCAGGAATTTGGTGGGGCTCAGGGATGCATGGGGACAAATTGCCAAGGAATTGCATTTTCTGTTTCCCTGCTGCAACTTTCCAACCCAGCAAACAGCAGTGTGACCCCAAGCTGGGCCCAGGAACGGGAATTCTGCCCAAAGTGAAGAGAAAACAGAGATTATCCAACAAAAAYGGGGATTTTGGGCAGGAGTAAATGATTGAATTTGACAAAAATCTCTAAATCCTGTATTAGGTTAGAGTTTCACAGTGGGTGAAGAATAATCCTGGAAAATGGGAAAAGAATACTGGGAAATGGGAAAAAAAACGCTCCTGGATAATGGGGAAAGAATCCTGGAAAATGGGAAGAGAATATTCCTAGAAAATGGGAGAAGAATACTGGAAAATGGGAAGAGAATACTCATGGATAATGGGGAAAGTATGTTCCTGGATAATGGGGGGAAAATACTGGAAAATGGGAAATAATTTTCCATTTATCCATTTCTGGAAAATGGGAAAAGAATACTCCTGGAAAATGGGAATAAAATACTACTGGGAAAGGCAAATAGAATACTGGAAAATGGGAAAAGAATACTCCTGGATAATGGGGAAAGAATACGGGAAATGGGAAGAGAACATGCCTGGAAAATGAGAAAGAATATTCCTGAATAATGGGAATATTCCTGGATTTGCAGAATCCAAATCAATGACTCTAGACCCTTTCATTAGATCRTAAAAGAACTTCAGGCCAGCTTCTAATGAAATCTGCAATCAAATATGAATGAATCATCGGATCTGACACAATTCCTTGAATGAAAAGCAGATGGAAAAGCAGCRGTGATTAAATGGTTTACATCACAAGGTACCAGTGAAATCAGAGGAGGAGATATTTAATCACAGAATTATGGAATGGTTTGGGGTGGAAGAGACCCTAAAGCTCATCCCATTCCATGTCCCAGGTGTTCCAAGCCCTGTCCAACCCGGCCTGGGGCATTGCCAGAGATCCAGGGGCAGCCACAGCTTCTCTGGGCAATTAAAATTCAAATTAACGACCCCTCAGCCCAGGGAAGCATCAAAACATTCACCTGATATTCCCTGCACTGCCCTGAGACAAAGCAGAGCCAAAAATAGCCCTAAAATCAATATACACCGGGGAAAAGCCTCCGGGATTTTGATATATGTTGATAAATGCTGTGCCAGGAGAGGAATTCCTAAAATCCCAGGAAGGAAGGTGGCAATAAACTAAAAAATACCAAAAATAATTTGGTCAGAGAGCACCCTGGGGAGCTGTGCAGGGCACATGGGAAGGGCAGGCAGGAAAAGGAAAAACAGCTCCTGGAAATATTGGGGCAGTGCATCCTCATCCTGCAGCCACTGCTCACATCCATCCATCAGAAAAAGAGGGATACCTAATTTGAGACAAAAATAATTCAGAAAAGCGTGGTAGCTCAAGAAATGCAATTTATTCCTTTTCCTGCCCCGGGTCAGAGGATTGCACCCCTGAGCGGGGTCTGGAGCTGATCTTTGTCCTGTGGTACCTCCACGAGCACCTCAGAAATTCAGAAGCACCAATTGTGGGTGAAAAAGTCTCCCTTCCTCCAATTAATCCCTAATTTATACCAAAGACAGAAAYAATTTTTGCTGTTGAGCTCAGCTCCACTCAACCAAATCCACCCCTAAGAACCATTTTATCAAAATGCTGTAAATAAACACTCAGACGTTCCCAGCTTTGCAGCTGAAGGGCGCTGCAGGAAGGAAGATTTTCAGAGCCTTCTCAGCATCTCACATCAGACACCTAAGGAGGGTCTCAGCTCTCCCTGCTCGCTCCCGGTGAGGAGGGAAACATTTTGGTTTCCTCCGCGCGCACCGCAGCGATTTTATCTGAAACAGAAACGYGGCGTCAAAGCTCATCCACCACCGGGGTTTATTCAACTTTGCCCTGACCAGAGCAGGAGAATTCTTTAAATTAAATCTCCCAGGACACCAGCAAGTCAGTTTTTGTTGGCTTTTTTTTTTCCTTAAGCTGTTCTTTAACACCATTATTTCAGTCGTGCTTGAGACTTGGAACGCCACCCGACAATCCCACACACAACTTGTTCTTCCAGAGCAGCGCTTGGTGCTGCTTCTCCTTTTCAATCTCAGAAAGATCTGCAGGGAATTGCCAAAAAGGAGAATGATAAAAAACAGATTTGGCAGTGCCAGATTGGGTTGGGTTGGATTAAAGAGACCTTAAAGCCCTTTAAGGTCAGGGACACTTCCACTGTCCCAGGGTRCTCCAAACCCCATCCAACTTGGCCTTGGACACTCCCAGCTTCTCTGGGATATCTGATTTAAAAAAAAAAAATAATTAAGGCCCTCTGCCAGGGCCTTGAAAACACTCAAAATGGGGTCCAAGCAGCACAAAGTCCCTAAATCCCRAATGACTCCATTTCCATTTCAGCAGGGGAAAAGCAGAACAGACTCTGCCATGGGCTTCCCCAAGCTCTCAGCCAGCAGCAGCCTTTGGCCCGAAATACCTCAAAAAGTAACATTAAACTCAACCAGCAGGAAAATCAATACCAAAATTAAGAGATAAAAGATCCAAACCCATCCCTTTCACAGCCCTGAGCCACAGAATGCGAGCYGAGCTCAGCAGCGAGGTGAGCAGTAAAACCAGCAGGGTTTCCTCACTGATTTTTTAAAACCTRTGCCCCCACAGAGATTTTAAAATCAGAGAATCCCTCTGAGGGTGGGGCAGAATCCCTCCCTTACCTCAGGGACAGGTTTGGAGGCACACAGAGGGGACAGGGGCATCTCAGAACCCCAAGCCACACGCCCTTCCCCGCTGAACTTTTCCTTTTTACTCCTTGCTAGAGCTCAAACTCCCTGCGAGTTTCCTTCCCCAGACAGACACTGAAGTCCACAAAAATCCAGGTGAGGTCACAGCCCTCTTTTTCCTCCCCCTGCCGAGGTGCTGGGGTTGTTTTGAATAAACCTCGTTTGCATCTCCCCAACCTGCACCACCAGAAGCGCTCAGATCTCGGGCGAGATCTCCTCAACACAAAACGGCCCCGGGGCATTTTGGAAGGAGCAGGGAAGGGAAAGTTGGGGGTTTTGGGAGCTCTGAGCTGCTCCCTGCAGAGCAGATAATGTTTTTTACATCCTGGTACGAATATCTGCAAACAAAACTCTCCTGGGGTGGAGAGAAGGGGAGCAGCGCAGGCTGGGATGGTTTCCCCACGGAATTCCATGTGAAACTGCTCCCCAAAACATCCTCAGCTTCCCAGGGCTCCTTCCAGGCTGGAAATGGATTCATTCAGACTCTGCTTTGCTCTTCTGACCCCTTTTTTCCAAGCATTTCTCACAGCATTTCAGCCCCCTGCAATCTCCATTCCCAAATCCCACTGTCCCAGCCTGGAAAAGCTGTGCAAGCCCTAACAGCCTTCACTGAGCACTCTGAATTTGCATTCCTCCAAAGGAAACTGCAGAATTTTCTCCTGAGAGCAGCCCCAGAGCAGGAACAAGGGTGAGGAAGAAGTTTTTTTTTGTTGTTTCCCTTACCAGAGCTGGGCATGTGGTTCACTCGAGGTGGATTCAACAGCTCCACTGGCTGGTCTCTGCCAGAAAGCCCATCTGGAAAGAGGGGGGAAGAAAATAAAATCACATCAACTCTTTGGGTAGCTGAGGTATTTTTAGCCGTTCTGAGCAGGGGGAAAGAAGAAAAAAAAAATAAAATGAAAAAGATTATTGATGCAGAGCAGAAATGCAAACAGCACAAATCGATGGAAAGGAGAATTCCCAGGACAGCTAGAGCAGAAAATAAAGGAGATTCTACACCGAATTACACTCAGGTTTTCCTGGTCTGCAAACCCACCACTACTGCTGATCCCGGCCTGGGGAAACAAGGAAGTGAGCTCAAAAAAACCTTACCAGAGAAAACCAAAAACTGCAATTCCTTCCTTGCTGGGAGAGCTACGAGAGAGCCACGGAGCGAGGCTGAGGAATGGCTGGAATAGCCCAGGGAGATGGGAAGGAAAACCCACAAATCACTGCAGCAGATTCAAATGMAGAGACACGCAGAACGAGCCCCATTTTGCATAAGTTTGGATTTCAGAGAGGCATTAAAAACACGCTTGGTAAATGAGACGCACAAATCCGTCCTGCTGAAGCAGTTCCCTGCTTAAAATATTTCCGAGATTGTATCTTGGGGAGAGCTGAACAGAAAAACCAGCGTTGGGAGACTGCCACACCTGAGTTTCCAGCCACTCATTCCCCCTCCCAGAAAAGCCAAAAAAACAAAATGCTAAATGATGTTTTCAGTGTAATTATCAACGCTGGGATAGAGAAAATTTATCTTGAGCTATTTGTTGCACCAGGCTGTCTCACTTTTCCCCTCAGAGCCCTCTCTGTGCTGCAGCTCCGATAGGATCAAACCAAACCCTGTCTGGAGACATCAAAGGAGCCAGCCCATCTCTCCCAGGCAAAGGACAGCGTTTAAAAAAGGTTAAAATTTGTTCTTTTCTCCCTGTTTTCCCCATTTTTCTGGGCAGAAAGCGCAGCTGGGGGCTTCTCCAGGTTTTGCCTGAATTCACCTCCAGTGACCATACCCAGAGTAGAGCAAAACCCTAAACTTTAAAAAGTATTTAAAATGTCACTTTGCAGCTGAAGATGTGCAAATGGACAAAACCAGAGTCTTGCACCAGCACCCCCAGGTGCTCTGCAGGACAAATCCAGGTGGATTTGAGGCATTTTCAAGACTTGTTTCGTTCTGAGAAATAAAGTCCATCGATTTTTCTGCTCCTGAAAAAAAAACCCCACAAAAAAMCACAAACCAACACTTTTCAACCTTTGTTTCAAAACGAGCTTTGGATCAATCACAGCAGAAAATTTAGGAATGTCTGTTAAAGCATTGACACCTGAAACACTTGAGACAAAACCAAGCCATGCCAGACCCAGGTTCTGTCTTTGCTGCCTCTGAGTGATTCCAAAAAAATATTCTTTGAATCTCTGTTTGAAGGCAAAAAAATAACACTAAAAAAGGAGGGTGTTTATCAGGAAATAATTTGTATGAGGCACCCCTTCTGAGAGACTGGAATGGGTAAAAGAGGGTTAAAATGACCCTTTACTCTGTTCACACTAGAATGGGTAGAAGAGGGTTAAAATGTCCTTCTACTCTTTTCCTTCTTACAAACGAGACAACCCAGAAAACCAACGAAATATTTCATAAAATATTCCACAAAATACTCCACAATACATCCCATAAAATATTCCACAAGTTACTCCACAAAATACTCCAGAAAATATAATACAAAATATTCCACAAATTAATCCATAAAACGCTCCGCAAAATATTCCACAAAAAAAAATAAAAAAATAAAAACCTCCACAAGATATTCCCCAGCTCTCTGCTGGCCAAACTGGTCCTAAGCTCCCAAAAACAACTGGCAAGAAGCCATCCTCCATCCAGATGGGTTCTGTGAGGATCAGCCTGACGATTTCCCCAAAATTCTCCAGCCAAGCGCTGTCCRTGGAGCCTGCAGGGCAGCAGACACCAGCCTGGCTGATTCATGGCTCGAGTCAGGGAACATTTAGTGGAGCTTCATTTCCAGATGGGTATTTCTACTCATTAATTAACCAGATGAAGCTATCATTCATTGATGGGAACTCAAAGGATTTGTTTTTATCTCGATCCGTTCCAAAGAGTTGGTTGAGTTGTGCAGAAAACGCAGCCGGGACAGGTTTGGAAGTGGCTGAGTCTGCAGGATTGAAGGATGTTGAAAACACCAAAACAAAGGCGAGATGTTTACAGGTTCAGTCCAGAGGAAAGCAGAAACATGAGGGATAAAATCCCTCAGAMAAGATGAAGCAGCAAAAGGAACAATTCAGAGAATCAGAGAATTGTCGAGGTTGGAATTGCCAGGGTTGGAATTGTCAGGGTTGGAAAAGATCACTCAGATCAAGTCCATCCAGGGCAAAACCAAACCAGATGAGGACAGGAAAACAAAAACACAACTTCAGCACTRAGAAAAGACCAAGAAATGAAGGGAAACCGAAGGCTGAGATATTCAATTAGGTCTTAAGGGAAACTGYGAGCAGCCTGACTATAATTAACTCTGATGAGCTTAAAAATGCAGGGCAGAAGTGGGAATGGGGAGGTTATTTAAATAGTTTTCCATGTATTCAGATCTTGCAGCCTGATGCAAATCACCCTGGCCTACCTGAATTCCTGGAGTGAAGGCATGAACAATGAAAAAATTATCTCTGAGGGACACCCTGAGCAGAGGGAAAGCTCCACGGAGGGGTGAAAGTAAAACTTCAGGAGAGACGGGGAGGAAGGAAGGAGCAAGAGGTGAGGAAAATCTGCTTTAGTGACTCGGATTTGTCCCTCTGGAGCCTGAAATGAAGAATTTGAGATGAAAAAGGGATGGAGGGATGGATGGAAGCAGGGAGGGAGGGAGGGAGAAGGGAAGGGAAGGAGAGAAGGAAGGAATGAATTTTGGAAGGAAGGAAGAA